GTGCCGTTCACTTTGGTCTCGGGCGTGCCAAGACAGCTTTCCCCAGCGTCGTCTTTGCAGTCGCTCTGCTGGCGTCCATACGTGTGCGGTCGGGTTTACTGAATGATTTATAGCTACAGTGCCGTTTTCTATGCGGAACAACCAAGTTTATGGCGTGCTATCTTGGGAAATGGATGTGCCCGCAACGACATGGCTTTCTCACACAAGACAAACCCAACCAGATTTGCCGTTTTCTTTCAGTGAGCTTCTCGCATTTAATTCGTTGCTCTCACGGAACACGCTGCTCTCAAAAGACTCACTTTTCTCATGCATTTCATTGAACCTGTATTCAGTTCGATGAGGGCCACTAGCACGCTGCCGCTGCGTACGCTCTCATTTGTACGGTACGAGAGAGGAGATGTGTTTCATATCTTATTTTTATGAAGAGTGGTACTCATTTCAGCTCTTCAAAGAATTGCAGGTCATGTCTCGTAGTGTAAGAGCGATGCAGTTTAGTATAAAGTATTCGAACGTATCACGTAAGCCTCCTTTTAGGTTCAATTCACTACGCCATACATATAGCTGGTTCGATGTCCGCGCATAAACCCGCTGGAATGAAAACTTGTCTATATTCATAGAACACATCACAAAATCATCATGAGGTTTGTAATTTTGCAGACCACACATATGCATGAAAGTCGCTTATTCACATACACGCACACTTAAGGGTGCCTTGTAGAGCAGCGTACGGGCGACACGATCGCAAAAGTGCTCATTCTACCGACGGCGCCGGTTTACGCCCCAAACAAAATTCGGGGCGGCATGTTTTTGCAGCAACGTTATAGTAGATAGCTGATGTTCCCAGGAAGGAGGAGGGGTAGAGCGACAATGAACTTGCCACACACTTTGTGGTAGAAACAAGCTTCTATTGTACACCGTTGATTTCCAAGTCGGTTTGGCCTGGCCATCGAGGCCTGGTGCACATTCTTAACGTGGTTCACAGTCGGCAAATTTGCGGTTTATGTTGGCTATAGGCGCACAAACACAGTCGTTTTTACTAACGTGATCAAACGATATGGTCTCATCAAAATTGCATCTCGCACGATTTGTGCTGCCGTCACTTTGAGTTTCTTACACATGGACTCGCTTTCGATGTGCTTTTGGACGATTTTTGAAACAGAGAATGCTGAAAAGGTGTACTGTCAACTTGAAGGAAGGAATACAGTGGGTGTTTTTCTTGGAAAATGGACAGTGTGCCAGCAATGTGATGCTGGTCTACACCACCTGAACGCACCTAGACATAACTTCCAACGAGCTGTCGCGCTGGGACGCACGCGGTGCGGCAAAATACATCTACTGACTATGGCTCGAGTTCGAATGATGGTGCGTGGGATGTTGGGCGGAACCACGCCACCAATGGTGCTGAGGACTATTGTTGTGGTGGTGCCATTGTATAGGGCCAACACACAGAAATACTCGAATCTGCTCAAAAGTTACCTCAGCAGGACTCCACCGACATCAGTGGTGGCTGCGCCTGTGCGTCGGGTGCATGCAATATACTTACAGATGTTGAGTTGGGCGTTCCTAGTTAGAAAAATAGAGGGCTGCAATGGTGTCTTGCATGCTGTTCTTGCAATCATCTTGTATAACCGTTTGTGAGCCCCCTTCCATGGAATCCTCCTTTCACAAAGCCCAAACGTAATGACGGCAGCCACTCAAAATTTCCAACTCCAGGGGAGAGCAGCATTCCGACCGCCATCCTCCACCAGGACCCAACAGGCAAGTACCGCGTATAAAGTCCGACTGCCAGCCTCCAACAGGACCCCCAACAGGAAGTACCACGTCTAAAGTCCTACTGCCAGCCTCCATCAGGACCAACAGGCAAGAATCGCGTCTAAAGTCCAACTGCCAGCCTCCAACAGGACCCCAACAGGAAGTACCACGTCTAAAGTCCGACTGCCAGCCTCCAACGGGAACTCAACAGGAAGTACCGCGTCTAAAGTCCGACTGCTAGCCTCCAACAGGAGCTCAACAGGCAAGTACCTCGTCTAACGTCCGACTGCCAGCATCCAACAGGAACTCAACAAGCAAGTACGGCGTCTAAAGTCCGACTGCCAGCCTCCAACAGGACCTAACAGGCAAGGACCGCGTCTTAAGGGCAGCACATGATACACAACAGCTCAAAAATCGCATCAAATCTCAGTCGGCAAATGCCTGGCTTTGTTTTAGCAATCAACGCCGCGGTTTGCGTCCACCATACCGCGACAAACTGTCCAAACGCAACGGAAAGCAAACCTGTGTATGTAATCGCGCCGGCAGCCGACACTTTGGTATGCTTTTAAAATATGTAGAAAGCAGGGACGAGTTCCTCTGCTACATTGGCTATCTCTTTTACAAGGAATCAGTAACAAATGCCGCAATAATTCTGCGAAGTTTTGTCACCATGCACGCACAATCTGGAAGGCAGGTCCGCCTAGGCATACCTTTTACGGCAACGTTTTAATACACGGGGTTCCTGTGGAAGAAAAAGCATGTGGGTGGTAACATACCGGCTGTCCTGGCCGCATCAGTGGGAGCTAATCATCCGCTCGCTCTTGGACAAATAACGCAACGTTTCTTGAAGGGCCCAATCCTCTATGTGCACTACTGAGTTGCGCCATGCAGTTTGCTTGCATGCTTCATTCGCCCTGTGCGCAAATGGACCAAGTTATGCACGCCAATCAGTGTTGCATTTGTCCGGCTCTTTCGAGCTGCGTTACCGTGTTCCAGTATACCAAATAAATCACCAATAAAACGTTTTGCCGAATTCGTCGAAAGCCTTCTTTAAATTTGTGAAATCTCTATGAAGTCAGGTTTTTCCAAGACCAGGTATTGGCAGGAGTCACCAAAAGCGCCGGAGCTCGCCGAGCGGTCAACTGGACGCACCGCTCGGCGAGTGAGTCGCCACGATGCCGATTCGGGGTGCATCCATTCCCCAGGCGATAAATCGCCACCATATCATAAATGTCACACTTATGCCCGGCGATGGCACGAATCGCGAACAGCGCATGCGCAGAACGAAATAATATGGTACAATGGCCGGGCTGTGGCCGCTATAGTGCTGTGATTAGCCGACATTGATGAGCTCAAATTGCTGTTCGTCGTAATTTTATGGCTGCCTAAGTGCTGTTGCATAGTCGATTACACGGCTCTATGGCCGCTGGTAAGTGCCCTGCAAAGCAGGTTATGACCGCTATAGTAATCGGTGTCGTGGTGTAATGCCGGCAGTACGCAGCTTCTGACGCCGGTCGCTTCCCAGCTGTGAACTTCAGAGCTGGCGCTCCCGGTCGACGCCTGGCAGGGCATGCACGAATAACAGCATACGAGATTCCTCAATCAGGTAAGGCATAGGATGTGAAAACAACTTGCATGTTGCCTTCTTTAGATAGGCGAGAAAGGTCTCATGACGCTCCCGTTTTTTTTCGGTGCTGTGAGCCCAGAGTTATTACGCGGAAAATAGCCAACCTTCAACATGCCAGGATGCACTGATTTAACAAAATTATCCAGCAAGCATTGTTTATGCCGAGAAAATTCGATGTTTTCAAACTGCGCTCATGGTCATCATCATTTCCAAGAACTTATCAGCTAGTGAGCGGTATCACATTACCTCTCATCCACCACGTTGAGCGGCGCTTTGGTGTTTAATGGGCAATCAGCCAAACAGGACCTGACGCGCTAACGAAGAGACGGTCTCCTACGTCTCCATCATCCATCAGCTGTGTAGTTCGGCATCCGATCTCTGCAGGAGATCTGTGGATCTCCTGGACTTGTGCAAATACACCACAGCCGAGCTTTTGCGCAGCTTAAGCATGTCTTAAAAATGCCGTTGCCTCTGTCATCGCCCGCTGCCGTTGTTTGCATTTCATTGTGCCAGGCCCAGAGTGGAGACGGCCCAGCGCCGCCAGTGAGACGATCATTTCAGTGTGCCAGGCCCAGAGCGGAGACGGCCCAGCGCCGCCAGTGAGACGATAATGACAGCATTGGTAGTGGCCACGAGTCAAGCGATTGATTCTATGAGGGCAAAAGCGGATACTGTGACCTGTGACCAAAAGCCCTCTCTGTGACCGTTCAAAGCACAGGGCATCGGCTGGTTACGTAAGCAATCTGCAACCCATAGCACGCAAACCACATAGTATAGAGGAGAGAGTGATGTCATTCCATGTGGCCTCTCCGCACCAGAATATGAGACATAATGAGTACGACTGAACAATGACGTTGGTTGTGATTTTTTCATCTCTTCATCTCAAATATTAGGGGCCAAAGCGGGACTCTGGTTGCTAATATTTGTTTCGCTCCTCAGTGTATGAGCAGAAACATCAAACAGCCGCCAAAAAACAATACAAACAGTAAATCTCCCTAGTCACCTGCCTCCGTCATTATTTTTGATGCGGCTCCACTATAAGGGTAGCCATATTGTCTAATGTTTTAACGCGAGCTTGAAGCGACAGCCGGCCCGGGAGATAGGCAGTCAGTTGTGTGTCTCTGACACCGCAGTTGATAAACCGGCCAGTGTCGCTGACACGACACCTGAAAAGGCTAGTGTCGCCGGCAACACCTGATCCGTGGGTCCGTGTCACTGGCACGGTGACTGGACAACAAGTCGACTTGCCGTTCGCCGAATGCCTTTTTTATCGACTGTTATGTGACGACTTCCGTATTGACGACATGTAAAATGCCGACGCAAAAAGCTGACTCTGCGGCATGGCGCATTGTAACATGGCGACGTGGAAGAATAGCGACATGCCGAAACGGCGAACTGCTAAATGGCGGATTGCAAAGCGGCGACGTACCAAAAAGTTGACATGGCGCCCGCTAGCGCAGTCCCTGACGAGCCGGCCGGCAATGAGACCACTATCCCCGGCTAACCGGTTTGTGTCACTGAGACTGCGCGTGATGAGCCCACTGGGGTCACTGACACAGCACCCCACGAACTGTACAATGTCCCTGAAGAGCGCCTGACAAGCCGGACGGTGTCACTGACACTAGCACAGCACCTGGTGGTTGACCATGCGTTGCACTGCGCCGCTGATGCTGCGGTGGTCGCCCGGCGAGCCCGTCAGAAAGTCGTCGTAGTCGGAGCGCAGCAGGTTCTCACTCTGCAGCTTCCCCTTCAGGCAGGTGATATACCGGCTGCAGAAGTCCTTGCACAGGTCCTGCACCTTCTCCAGTTCCAGCAGGTGCACTCGCAGCACCTGGATCGCCTTGATCATCTGTGTGGAGGAGGGATCGCTGAAGACTGGGCAACGCTCTCCTGCAACTTGGCTCTCAGCTCGCAATGGCGATATCCCGCGTACGAAACATCTTTTCAAGACGTCAGCAGTCCGCCCCGGCCCGTGCCAAGCGTGTCCAAGCAGGGCTCGACAGACGAACAGTCGTGGACGCAACGAACGCTTTCGCGGCGCACGTGTTCCGTTCCGCGCGGCGCACTCCTGCTCCGGGCGACCTCACCAGTTCGTCGACCTCGGGTCGGCCGGCGGCGAGCGGCCGGCGATCGCGCTGTTGTAGCTGGACGAAGGCTTGCACGTCGGCCGAGAGGGTGTCGGCCGCGACGGTGGTCGGTGTCTGGGTGGCCAGCTCACACTTCTCCAGTAGCAGGGCCAGCAGTGGGAACAGTGGGTGCCTGGGGGGGGGGGAGGGGGCGGACTGAGGTCACGCCTGCCGTGCTCTGTCCGCTCACCGACACCGTGGTAATGTTCGCACACACGGTGCGGACAGTCACATCTGTGTAGAGCGTCGCCGAGTAGGACGGGTAACACCCACGCTCAACAGTCCACAGTTACGTACTCTCACTCGGACCACATGTGCAGAACCCTCGCCACATCTCCGGAGCCGGAAATACGACCGCGCATTCGGCAGACAGCATTCAAACTGTAACCCATCCTTATCCCAGTTCCTCGGCGACAGAACAGCCAGGTGCATCGCCGGATGGGAATCGAACCAGGGACCTCGGGCACTCGGCGCTGGTCTGCGCTTACTCGTAGACGGCTCGTTTGTCGGCCTCGAGCTGGGCGCGCTCATGCGTCTCGTCCCTCTCGTCGGTCGGCTCTCCGGGGGGTGCGGAGCCTCCGTCAGGCTCTGGGAAGCCCGGCCGCATGCCCCGCCCCTGCATCGGGCGCAGTGACGCCCTACCGGAGGGGCACAGGTGTCAGGGGGAGAGGAGTGCAAGCGCTGCCGTCACCGGCACACTGACGTTCGTACTGTTGTTCGGCCTTGCCGCTGTTATTGCCGCCCTTCCTGACACAACCACAGTCGCTGTCACTGATAGCAGCACTGTTACGGTCAAACTCGCTGTCGCCGTCATACACGCTCGTCACCGTCTTCGCCACCGATGTTTTCAGAATCACCGATACCTTACATCACCATGATCGCGACTATCATCGCCGACGCAATCACCATCAATGTCACAGACGTGTTAGGTACGTAGCGTCACTGTCCCATCAGTGGAATACGGTGGGAGTCCTTAGCCCCTCCCCTCCCGGTTAACATCTGAAAATTTGGACGTCTTTCATCCGATTGGGATGCCCAGTTGCAGAAAGTCACAGGAGGGGTGCGTCGTAATCGGCCTACAGCGGAACCCTTACCGGGGATGTTTCGCAGCTGAAGAAAGCGAAGCGAGCATCAGATATGATGAAACAAACTTACTTATAACTTTTGATATACTTTTGAGTAGAAATAACTCATCTGGATAATACAATTTCTTTATTTACTAAATATGATCCTCAATACGCCATTGTTTGATAACATCATCACACCTTGCACGACATTGATTGTGAGGCATTTTACGGCAGTTTTTTTCTGAAAGCCATGCTCGCGAATGCCAAATACACACCACTCGACCATGATATTTTTCTTGGCCTTGATCGCCACATGGCTTATGGAATGGAAAAATTTGAATGACATCATTATGACGTCATGGATACCTGTGTTACCTTTTGACAGTCTGCACGAAAAAGCCTGCACATCTTCGTACAAGTGTAGCTCAGAAACTGGAGGGGCTTATTTTTATAGACGGGCAAGGCTGTGAACTACACCAAGTGATTTTCAAGATGGCTATTTCAGTTCAGAACCCCACACAAGTGTGGAGGACTCTCTTCAAAGACAGGTAAGCACAGCCGGAGAGACGTTCTAAACCCAGACAGAGGATCCCCTAAGCCCGCTTGACGTCGCCGATCCCAGATGAAGTGGTGTTCCGAGTTATACAAAGAGACTCCCAACTTCGGTAGGGGGTCTCATCAGGCTCCAAGAAGAGTGGCACGCTCAGCTTTTGTCGAATAGCACTGTTATTTTCTGTAATCTGACGAAAAAGGACGTGTCCAGGCTTTCAGGTGGGCGGCACCGTAACCTGAAGCAAAGAAGCGTACCCAGGCCTTCAGGTGGGCGGCACTGTAAGCTGAAGCATAGGAGCGTACCCAGGCCTTCAGGTGGGCGGCACTGTAAGCTGAAGCATAGAAGCGTACCCAGGCCTTTAGGTAGGCGGCACCGTAACCTGAAGCACAGAAGCGCACCCAGGCTCTCAGGTGGACAACACCCCAATCCTTAACACATACGCTCCTCCAGCCATAATAGAGAAACGCCCCCAAAATTTTCATTGAGGGGTGCCCAAAAACGGACGTAGAGGAGCGCTCCATGCCGAAGTAAAGCGGTGTGAACCCACGGGCCGTTGGGGGACCCCTAGGCCAACTACAGGTGCCCCCAAGCCCTCGACATCTAGATGGACAATTGCCCATAGACGAGGATAGATGAGTACCCCAAGGCATACATGAGTACACCGTGCCCCTCCCCCCCCCCCCCCAGTTTAAATGAACCGGCGCCATTGTATGCGCACATTCGAACACGGAAAGTCCCATGACCGACTACAGGGTTTCACGACACCCAAGAACAGAGGGTGTTCAGAGTGATGGCAAAGATCAACACCAGGTCAGATTTCGCAACAGCAGGAAAAGGGCGCTTTCACATCACAAAGGAATGCCCCAAGTCTGAGTAGAAGGAGCCAACAAACGACGGCAGTACACAGCCATAGAAGGTGCCCCAGCCTACAGGGTGACGGGACATCCCAAGTCCAGGCAGTGGTCCGCCCCGCAGCAGAGTCACGTGAAGAGCTAAACCCGAAATCGAACGATTGCTATAAAAACTTTGCGAGTTGCAAACGCTAATCAAGCAGCGAATCCCGTGAGAACTAAACGAAAGCTAGAAAATAAAGCTAGAGGATTGTGATTGTGATGATGTGAAAGCTAGAGGAATGTGATGCCCTTAAGCAGACGTGGACACACTCAGGCAACTTCTGTTCAGGCTTCACTTCAGCTTCAGATCCCTTCGGCAGAACATTAAAACGAGGGGCAGTCCAGCGAATGTCACGGGCTGACATCGCAACATGTCGTAGGCAAATACGTAAGCTGCGCTACAGCCGTAACCGTCTGTGTCGGCAAAACAAGGCGCCACCATTACGGAATAATTGTGGCTTGGAAGGTCGCAATACAGCGATGAATTATGATGTTGTTAATGACAGCTTAAGCTTGCAGCCAGCTGCCAGTGGGCGGAACGGCTGCGAACCAGCAGCCACTCTGCAGACGCATGCGCTGATGAGGTCTCCGACGGCAACAAATGAGGACCCGTGCGAACAAAAACTCAGGCTAATCAAGAAATTGCCTAGTCCGAACAACTTACAAAACGTGCAATGCCCATGCATGCTCAATTGGTCATTTTAGGTTGAAATGGGGCAAATACGATGAGCTGGCATATGCCATTCTACATATTTTCTTTTCTGAATTGGATCAAATGCTTTCTTGATTTACAAGAGGCAGAAGAAGGGTGGACTGGCTTTGGAAACATTATACCGTATTCGACTATATCCCGGAAATTCAACACATACGTATTTTACCCATTCATAGTCAAATAGGAGCAAACGAATCGCGTGGCACAGAAACATTTCCATACTAAAGACATTCCACCGCCGTGTCATACAGAGACGTCTCTCTTACAACAAAACCCTACGTGAAGGTCAAGGCTCATCGCGCCGAGACTTACGGAGACCTTACCATCCAGGTATTCTCAAAGAGGAGATTTCGCAATGATGACCAAGCCCTTTGTCTGGGTCGATCAGTATTGTTAAACGTTTGCATGCGTCATTACGCGGACACTTCACCGCCTGCGTAACGAGCTGTTATGTCTATTTTACTTTTAAGAACTACCGAATCGACGTCTAATTGCGATAAATATGCCTCATCCTTTCCATACCCCGGTAAGTTCCCTTCCTACGCTATGTCAGACACATTTTGCCGAGCATACAACGCAGGCAAATATCACCAGATTTAACGGAAAAACTTGCTGCCTGACGCAATCCGTGGCTCCCCTTTCATTAATGAATAAAATCTGGTGAGAAATATTGAAAAGCGCCCCTAAAAACCTACAACACTCTTTCGAAAATCTTGCTCACCCCGCCCCTTTACGAAAATCATGTGCACACGTCTGTGCCCCGTCATTCAAATGTACCACCAAGCACACACCGTCCTCGCCAGCTACCGTTACTATCGCAACTGACGTCCCTGCCTTTGTCACTGTCGGAAACAGTGATACATATTTGTGACTTGCATGGTGAAATGACATCAGCAAGTTCGGTACCAAGAGGTCCAATTAGCATGCGAGGGATAATCTTAGCCTTAGTGACTATGAATCATACCACGTCACATAAATGCTGGGCACATTTGAAGCGAGGACCACAAGGATGCTGGGGCGGCGAATGCACCCCACAGATCCAAGGATTTAGATCTCTGACCTTCACGGGCAGTGACCCTTCAAAAATGGCGAGATTACTGCTCTGCAAATATGACAAAGTACATGGAGAAGCTCAATGGCACGAATACAAAATTACTGCGTGTCACGTATATGCTATGTTTTAGCTTGCACGCATAACGAAAAAAATATGTTCGCCAATAGGCAGCTTTTCGCAATGTCCAAGACTAAAGAGTCTAAGCAATCAAAACCCGCATTCATTTCTCAGAGATAGCTTGGCTGGCACAGACATTTCAACAATAAAAAAGTATGTGTATATGTGTACATGTATTTACATGTATATGTTATATCCATGTATGTATATATATATATATATATATATATATATATATATATATATATATATATATGTGCATATAGTATATAGGTTGAAACACGGCCAATATGGCGCCCGATGTGCGTAACTGAGAACATCACCCATGAAGCCTGAACAGAGTCTCAACACTACCCACGTGCGCGTTGGTTGATGCTGGCAAGTAACACCTCTGGCCGTTTTCTCGACGCATCTCCCGAAACGAATCAGAACCATCAGAAGTGGTGACAAGTGAGTAGCTGAGGTCGGAAGGTTATGATATCTGACCGAAAACTCGAGCCTCATCGCCGTTGTACGAGGGACACTGCGGGCCGCATGACCAGGCGGATAGCGTCTTCTCCGTGTTAGGGGGAGGGAGGAGGGAGGTGCGAGCACCGTTGTGCAACGGCAACGGGCATGAAGGCGCACAGGGCGGGCGTGTTTTTGGTCTATCTATATGTAAAGGTCACTAACAAGCAATCAATGAGTGTAGGCCCAGGACTAGGACGACCGTGCCACATCAATGTACGGCACTTAAAACCTTCCGCAATTGGGTGCGGCTAAAAAGCACGTGTAAAATCACGCGTTTCACTGGGCGCCAGAAGTCCGGTGGTTGTTCAAGGCGCTCACATCAGTTTTTGTTCAGGAAATACTCAAAACGCAAAACCACTGATGCTAACCATTTGAAATAACTTCATTAAACAAATTTGCCATTCATTTACCAAAGCTGCAAGCGAATAAGAAGTTACTTAGTAACTTAGTTCAGGAAGTTTTATCCCATCTTGATATCAAATTTTATGTGTATAGCAATACCTCAAATATCACCAGCGGTCATCTCTGTCTGATGCCATTGTACACAATTAAGGCACAAATATAGTCCAATATAAACAAACATTAATGAGATCCGGACCCCGCCGACACCAGCCGTGGTCACACCGATCCGGACCCCACCGACACCAGCCGTGGTTACACCGATCCGGACCTCACCGACAACAGTCGTGGTTACACCGATCCGGACCTCACCGATAACAGCCGTGGTTACACCGATCCGGACCTCACCGACACCAGCCGTGGTTACACCGATCCGGACCCCACCGACACCAGCCGTGGTTACCACCGATGCGGACCCCACCGACACCAGCCGTGGTTACACCGATGCGGACCCCACCGACACCAGCCGTGGTTTACACCGATCCGGACCCCACCGACACCAGCCGTGGTTACACCGATCCGGACCCCACCGACACCAGCCGTGGTTACACCGATCCGGACCCCACCGACA